ATGATTACAAGTACTGTAATAATGCTCACTCTTACCCACCTGAACACATCTGATTCAAACACATCTCAGTTCCCATTTTTTAACCTCGGTGCACGTTAGGCCTTCGCAACAATTTTCCCAATCATGATAATTAGCGCAAAATTCACCTTTTTGAGTGCAATGAGCCTGGTATACTATTGTATGATTACAATAAAAAGAGAATGATTAATAATTTACATACAAATATCTAATTACCGTTAATGTATACAGCCATAATTATCGCAACAATGGTGAATAATATGTTAATAAATCTCATAATAAACAATTTAAATAATAATATTTTATAATTGTATTTTTAGTTGTAAAATAATATATTGATTTGACAATATTCAATAATGCAGCTAGTTTATATAATAAACATAACTATAATCTACCCAGGATATTACATATAAAAGCAACTAAATACTATATTTGTTTATTACATACTTGCAAATTCTGTATTTTTAAATAATATTCTGCAAATATTTATTTAGACATTATTTGATAAAGCTCAAATATGGCTATCGTGCTCATACAGGTATACATTTATATGTTAGACAGACATCGAGATTCTATTCAATCAATAGTATTTTTAAATAATATTCTGCAAATATTTATTTAGACATTATTTGATAAAGCTCAAATATGGCTATCGTGCTCATACAGGTATACATTTATATGTTAGACAGACATCGAGATTCTATTCAATCAATTAAATACTATAATAGTTTTATATTATTATGCAATCTCATAATATTTACTTTTATAATATTTATTCTTGATAAAAACATAATTTACCAAGATGTTACCTTTATAAAAAAAAATTTTATCTAGCCTTTTTATTTTACTTAGTGTTTAATATTATTGTAATTATATTTTTGAAATAATTTATATATTTTTTATTAGCTTAAAAATTATACTCAAATAATATATAATGTATGTTTAGATAATCATTTTATAATACATTAGACTTTGCCATATTAATTTAATTGAACTACAAACGTATAAGTTCAAATAAGAATATCAATATGTATTATTTAGCATTGCCACTATAATAAAACAAATAATTATATAATCATTAAAAAAGTAAATAAAATAAATATTATTAAATAAAATTAAAAATAAAAATGCTAACATAGGTCTAATAAACCGGTGCTAAATATTATGTATGCTTTAGGGCGCAATAATCAGGGTTACAATAGTTTGGACACAATATATCAGTATATTTATAATAAATAAGTTATATTATAATAAATGCTTTTAAAAATTCATGAATACAATGTTATTACAATAAATACATTATATGTATAATAAATTGCAAGAGTAGCTTTGAACTTAAATTTACCTGGTTATTAATGTATTAACAATATATTGAATATACAGTATAAGTTTAATTTTCAAGGCTACTTTAATTTATTATACATATGATTTTTTTTATCAAGGAATAGGTTATTTTAAGACATTAAATATTATAATACTTTTATTACTACATAAAGTAATATCCAGGTACATATTTTAAAATATTAAATATCAAAATAGTTTTGTTACATAATATCTTACATTATGGTTTATGTATGGTAAATGTATAATGGTTATGACATCCTGTACAGTATAAAAATAAATAATATAAAGGTTAATTTAAAGGAAATGTGTGTGTATGCGTGGGTGGTTATGTGTGTGTATATGTTTTACTAATAAATACATTGAATCCTGACGATACTTATCCAGTTAAGTTAAATTAACTTATTTAGATAGATCGGGGAGTTAATAAGGAAGTTTATAAAAATTAAATAATTTTGTTTAATCCATAATTTTGATAAAAATAACATAAAATATTTAGATCTATTTGTGACCACGAGTTTTCATAAAATTAGACCATAATACTTTAATTGTCATAGATACTTACCAGTAGTGTTTAATATTTAATAAACGCGAAACAAGTATGCAATCAAAAATACATAATTTATTTTTTCATCCATGTCCTATTCGTTATCATCTGCTTTGAGGTACTGTCTCTCAGTGTCCACGAAGTAGTCCTCGAAGTAGTGGCACAAGTACTCAAAGGTAGGCCTATTTTCGGGCACTTCATGCCAGCACTTAAGCATCGTATTGTAGTACGAATCGGGACACTCCCCCCATAGAGGTTTGAGTAGTCGGTACTTATGGGTCCACACCTGTTCCCTCATGTCACGAAATGTCATACCTGGGTGATTAAATAAAACAAAATTGTGTAGAAAATTATATATATTTTAGTATTCAATAGATATTAACTTAATATATACACTACCGGTGTTGATATAAAGATGCATAGTGAGTTAATAGATACACAATATTTATAAAAACAGAATCGGTAGATTTAATTGCCTACGCTACTATATTATATTTGTACATGTTAAAATTAAATAAAATTAGCTTGACTCGGTAAATATAGAGGTCTAAAAGTAAGTTACCTGGATAGGGGATCCCACCTAAAGTGATCACTTCGTACAACACTATCCCATAGGACCAGACATCGGACTTTATGGTGAACTGTCCATATAGTACCGCCTCGGGGGCCGTATACTTAAGGGCACACACAGGATATTTTCCGCCTATGTCTTCGATAACTAGGCCTAACCACCCAAAGTCAGCCACTTTTACTACATTATTGTGGCCCATCAGTACATTCTTGGCACCCAGATCCCGGTGCACCATGTTAATCGACTCTAAGTAGCTCATACCCGAGGCTACCTGTGCGCATATGTCGATCAGGGCGGGCAGTTTCAGTGACTTTCCCTCCGGATCATCCCTAAGATAGTCCAATAGAGAGCCTTTCGGGAGGAACTCCGTGACAATGAGTAGGGGCTCCTTCCGGGCACAGACCCCATAGAGTTGGACGAGATTGTCGTGTCGACACCTCCTAATTATTACCGCCTGATCCAGGAAAGCCTTGGGAGACATAGTGCCCGGGTTAAGCCGCTTGACAGCCACATAGGTCTGGTCCATTAGTGTGCCGTAGAAAACGGTGCCAAATATACCCCTCTCTAACCGTCGGAGCAATTTAAGGTCTTTCCGGTCGATCTCATCCGGAACCCTAAATAGTTTAATAAGTGATAAGTGATGACTGTGTGTGTGTGGGTGTGGGTGTGGGTGTGGGTGTGGGTGTGGGTGTGTGTGTGTTATTAGTGATTGAATTTAATTTTATTGTGGAAATGTCTAAATCATATAAAACTGAATATGAATTTAAAATTATAATAAATATATTTTTTTTGTAAATTATATGTATTTTGCTCAGTTAGTTTACTTTATCCTAAAAAATTACTTTTTTCTCAAATAGTGCGCGCACTATAGGGCGTGAAACAGGATATTATATACTGTACAGTACACTAACACTATGTCAACAAGCTCACAGTTTAATAAATTATAAATTAATTAGCTAGTACACTCACTCTTCGGACTCAATGACAGTGGTTCCCACATAATTAACCGGTATATTACCAATTTCACCTGTCTCAGATCGTCGAACTTTCCACCGGTCGGGATCGTTTAGGTCTGAAACCTCCAGGTTCTCCCCTTTCTTGAAGGTTAGGGCACCGGTATGTTGGGTTTGGGAGTTTTTAAAATTAGATTTCAGTCCCAGCTTATTACCCATTACTTGTTTCACTTATAGATTATATTGATATTATACGGTGTATTATTATATTAATCAATTATTGTACATAAAACATACATTATTATTAAATAATATTATAAAATAATATTAATGATACAGTACTATTATTTAATAATATTATATTTAGTATATACTAGTAACATTCATATTCAATGCATTGTAATATAAAAATATCTTTTTATATGGATTTCTCTATCAAAAATGTCATTTCCACAAAATGATGTCATATTTTGGTCTTCATTGTACAAGGACATTAAAAAATTTGGCCGTTAGCATTAATAACTTTTTACTATATATGATCGTATATGTATTTTTCAATGCAAAATATACACATAAAATAATCATTGTATAAAGATCTTCATAAACTTCCAAGATGAAAGATTGTTTAATAGCTCGCTTATTAATTGTAGCTAAAATCTATACTCTGGCACACTTAAAGTTCATTATGAGGTAGCCCTGAATAAACAAGAATATTCTGTATGACATCAAGAATATTCTGTGATATTGGATGATATGCTGGACCCATAGTCAGCGCAAAGATTACTTATGTTACAATGATATGGAGTAAGGGTATGGTAGAGGGGATACTATATTTCAATAATATGAAAAAATAATTAAAAATATATCGCATGNTGAATAAACAAGAATATTCTATATGACATCAAGAATATTCTGTGATATTGGATGATATGCTGGACCCATAGTCAGCGCAAAGATTACTTATGTTACAATGATATGGAGTAAGGGTATGGTAGAGGGGATACTATATTTCCATAATATCAAAAAATAATTAAAAATATATCGCATGCCTGCTTACAGTTTAACTTTGAAAATGGTCAATTCCGCCATAGAGTCTCATGTGTTTGGAAAATAAAATAAAATATTTGAAAATGTTTTATGCCTATCATAAGCGCAATTAAATTCTAATATGTATAGCACAAAAGATTTTTTAAAAATTTTAACTTTTAGGGGTTTATTAAGGGTTATAAAAATACAAAAACACTAATAAAAAGAGTAAAAAAGTACTTTATTGATTTATAAAACAATTCATAAAACCTGTAATTGTTATTATAAAAAAATAATTTTTGGTGCTATTCATATTAGGATTAAATTGTACATATGATAGGCATAAATCATTCCCAAATATTTTATTTTATTTTCCAAACACATGGCTCATTCAGGCTGCTAATAATAGCCTATTATCTATGTTTTAATTGAAAAACTCGAAATTTATTTTCCA